TACTGCAGTGTCCCAGTCTGCCGGAGGGCCCCAACCCCTAAACCCCGAATCCGAAAGCAACAAACCGTAGTGTAGTATTGCAAAATCATACAGCCTCCCGGAATAGAGGGGCCCGGATCGACAAGCACCGCCCCGGGAAATCCTTGGAAATGCCTTTCTTCCCTGTTTGGGCTTCGGATTTCGGGTTTGCAGGGTTCGGGGTTCTGGACATAGGGTTTAAGTTTAGGGTCTACCACAGCGAGCACACGCCATGGCTGGGCATTCTAGACGCTTGATATAGGATCGTAGCAGCATCGAAACTCTGACGATGCATCTATCCGTCTGTCTCCGTCTGTCTATCTAACTATCTATCTATCTATCTATCTATCTATCTAGCTATCTATCTATCTATCTAGCTGTCTATCTATCTATCTATCTATCTATCTATGTAGCTGTCTATCCGTCCGTCTACCCATCTACCTATGCTTATGTACTTACCCATCTAGTTACATATTTGCTTTTATCTTCGTATTAGTATTCATATTGTATTTGTATTGACAAAAGTTGGGGGGTACACACATACATACATACATACATACATACATACAGACAGACAGACAGACAGACAGACAGACAGACAGACAGAGAGACAGACAGACAGACAGACAGACAGACAAACAGATAGATAGATAGATAGATGGACCGGTAGATGGATAGATAGATAGATACATAGACAAATAAATAGATAAATAGATAGCTAGCTAGCTGATAGCCAGACAGCTAGGTAGCTAGACAGCCAGACGAAAGAAAGAAAGATAGATAGGTATGTAGGTAGATAGGTAGGTAGATAGGTAGGTAGAAATTCTTTGTCTTATTTATGTGTCTGCATGTATTTATGGGTGTTTTGCTCACGTTTTATTTGTTGATGTACTTATTCATCTATGCTTTTAAATAACTTCTCATCAATCTTTCATGCTTATGCTTGCATTTATACTAAATGACTCATATTTATGTATTTGTCCTTGTGTGGATTTGTTGGTGGAACCGTGTTCTGCGTCCAGAAATAACATCTGCTTTGAGACAAGCGTCCGCGTGCGGCACCTGGGGAGGGAAACCACAACCCCGAATGTATGTGTCTGTATGTATATCTACACACGCATATGCATACGAACATATACATACGTATACACATACATATATATATATATACATACATGTCATGATATGTACATACATACATGCATACATACATACGTACTTACATACATACATCCATCCAGCCATTCATCCATACATTCATACATAGATACATACATACGTACGTACCTGCATACATACATGCATACGTACATTCATACGTGCATACATACATGTATGTGTGTGTATATATATATATGTATATGTATATGTGTGTGTGCGTGTGTACATGATTGTATGTATTATACGTCCTTATTCATACCCTTACCACTGCATGAGGACAAATGCAAACATACGAGCAAATCGTGCAGGAGTTGCCTGCAAAGCTGGAAGCCCAGGCGAAGAGATAATCCTAAGACATTCACGCTGATAAGGTCCATGTAGCTCGTACCTAACATGTTGGTCTCGGAGTCTAAATTTCTACATTCTTCCACCTGCAGGGGCTGGAATGGCTGCTAGTTGTGTAGGTTGGCATGCCAGAACTGTCAGAGACTCCAAAACAACCACCGCTAACAACCTTTAACAGGCTGAAGTCCGACACAGCCATGTCACAGCCCTTGCAACCTCCCCAACATCTGCAGCAATCCAACAATTGCACGGCGCCGAGGCAAAAGCAGGAAGAACTAGCAACAAGAATGAAAGCAACTACTGCAATGAGGACAGTTTTCGTGCTAGCACCGGAAGAAAGACGATATGTGATCATGCTGTCATATTGAAGCCGGAGACGCGCAAAATCCCGAAAACCCAAAACCCAAACCCCCCCCCCAAACCATAGCAATTCGACTCCTAAACCCTAAACCCCCCAAACCAAAAAACACAATTCGACAAGCGGCCCAGAACTTACCCATTCCAAGCACTCTGGGCACTTCCGGGCCATGTCCGAGGCAGTAAGCGACGACGAAAGCGTCGAGGCACCACGTTCAGGGGTTTAGGGTTTAGGGTTTGGGATGTAGGGCTTAGGGTTTAGGGTTTGGGGTGTAGGGTTTAGGGTTTAGGGTTTTGGGTTTTGGGTCTGGGGTCTTGGGTGTAGGGTTTAGGCCTTACGGTCTTAAGTTTGGGATGGGAGTTTAGCACTTCATACAGTACAGGTTTCCAAGAATGTCGCTGGCTTAAGCTTCTAGGGCTTCTAGGGCTTGAAGTGAAAGGACGTCTCGGCTTCAGTTTCAGAGTTCTGGCTCTGGCCTTTAGGGTTCCTGGTTCCAGGCTCATGGCTTAGGCTTCAGGGTTTAGGGGCTCGGGTTTAGGGTTTAGGGGTTTTTGGCTTAGGGGTTTAGCGTTTAGGGGTTTAGGTTTAGGGTTTTAGGCTTTAGGGTTTAGGGGTTCGGGTTTGGGCCGCTCGGGGTTTTGGGTTCACAGGCTTCTTCGGCGCTTCGAAGGGCCCTGATGCATGCACTCACCTGGGGTTAGGAAGAATGTTGAGCCAGTGCTCCTCAGCGCTTGGAAGTTGAACGCTTCGCGAGCTTGGAGTTTGGGGTTTCCGAGTTTAGGGGCTTGGGGGTTTAAGGCCCTAAACCCTAAACCCTAAACCCTGAACCCTAAACTTGGGGGCTTAGGGGCTTAGGGGCTTAAGGGGGGACTTCAGATCGACGACTTTTGGCTGCGGGTTGCTTGCGGGCTTGGGGGTTGGGGGCTTGAGAGCTCGGGGAGTCTCTTGAGATAGGGCTTAGGGCTTGAGGCTTGAGAACGCTAGTCTAAAAATTTCCAAGCCAGTACCCAGGTTTCAAGACACCCGATATGACCGTGAAAACCTTCAAAAGGAGCTAACATTATGGTCCCAAGGACTTGAAGGAATTCGGGCAGGCCATGTGCTACGTGGTATGGAGTCAAGCTACATCCCTGTCTCGTTCCAGGGCTCACTCAGCGAATCCTTGCCGGTCACTGTTGAAATTGAGCTCACATCGAGTTTGGCCCTGCATCCTGCACCCTAAGCCGTAAACCCTACACTGCTAGCCATCCGAAAACACACAAAAATCACAGGCATTGTAGACGAACCCCTACCGTAAACCCTGAAACCGCAACACCCTACACCCTACACCCCTAAATCCTAAAGCTTAAACCCCAAAACCCTCACTCGTCTGAATCCTCACGGTTTAGAAAGACTCGATTTCGGTTTAGGGTTTAGGGTTTAGGATTAGGACACGAAGTCTGAATTGAGTCATTTCAAGCTTCTTCCACGGAACCACCCCGTTAGAACGGCCACCGGTCTCAGAGAGGAGGTCAATCCCGTTGAAACTCCTGTTGGATCCCTTTTCTGTGGAGCCTAATTGCTCACGACGCCCAGTCGATTCACTGGACGGTCGGTGGATGCCCTGGTTCTCGTCAGGGAGCTGCACAGAACTCTTTTTTTAGTCCCCAAGGCTGCAAGAGAAGAGCAGAGATTGAGAGATTGGACCCGATACCCTAAACCCTAAACCCTTAAATCCCCAAAACAGCCGACCGGGAGGAGAAGCCCCTTGCTAGGAACCATGGGCGACAGACGTGCAGTGGAGGCAGGGGCGTTCGGAAGATGCTAAGGCAAATCCTGGGGCTGTGAGGTTATGTTGGGAATGCGGGGTTTGGGGCTTTTGTGCTTCCCGAAATAAGTAGGTGGGAAGTGTATCAAGACGTGCCGCTGCTCTTCTTGTCAACCTTCGGCCAACGAAACTAAAACTCGTTTAAAACTGAGTGCATGATGCTGCCGCAGCAGACTTGGCATATCTTCCTAGCTCTGGCTGTGGGATTTTTTTTCTCGTGTAGTTTGCTTACGAACCATGATTTGCAGATGGATCTCTCTCTGGCATGTCTGTGTAACGGGTAGCTGAGATGGCCTGCGACTTTTGAAGAATGGCCTGGCTAGCTTAAAACACTTGGCCTTCTGACACTCGACATCAGCCGTGAGAGCTTTCGAAAAGTGTGAAGTCTATCTTGGGGGATAAAACTTGGAAAGTTCAGTGGGCTAAAGACTTAGCTCACATGGGATGCAGAAGCCCTAAACCCTAAACCGACTAACTAGCAATACTAAAGATTCCTTACTATGATTACAGCATCAAGGCCGCTTCCTGAGGCTTGAAACTAGGAAGCCCGAGCCAGAGTCGCAAAGCATACGAAGAAGATGAGTTTGCACATATATACAAATATGTAAACACATATATATATATATATATTTTTAAATATACATACATATAGATATGTATGGTGTCTGTGTGTATACGTAAAGGGTGAGAGAGTAAGAGGGAGAGGGAGCCATGTATATACATACATGCATATACATATATGCATTTGATTATGTATTGGTTCATTGATTGATTTAGACATATATATATATGTACACTACGGCCACAGCCCAGGAGGAGCTTATCTTGTTGTGCTCACTTGAACATGTGAGGATGCGCCGTCGGCGAGCGCGAGCACCGCGCCATGAACCTTTAGGGTTCAGAGCCAAGGGTTTAGGGTTTGCGAACATGTAAGCAGACCGAAACCTGAAGTAAATCCAAGTCAACCACGAGCACCTCCACAAAACTCCGGTTGGTCGTAACCCAAAACCCTACACAACCCTTCGACCCGACATACTGAAAAAATGCAGCCTACGTAGCCCTGGGCTCTGAATGGTGTGAGGCCTGGGGGCTGGAGTTTCAAGGCTTACGGTTGGAAGTTCCGGATTAAGGGGGTTCAGGACTTAGATTTCGGTTTAGGGTTTAGGGTTTAGGGGTTAGGTAGGGTTTAGGGTTTAGGGTTCAGGACTTAGATTTTATGATTTGGGGGCAAGGCTTCATCAAGGTCAGGGCTCCGGGCTTTCAGTGACGAGGCCACGGCCATCCTTGAAGCCCCGTGCTGGGCCCCCCGGCCGACGTGCAGACGCGCTGCACGATTCCCACGGTGTAATCCAGGTGCTGGTCGGCATAGGCTTTCAGCGCGTCCTTGTTATACCTTGCGAGGAGCGTAAGATCGGGAGACACCGCTGTCGGCATAGGCAAAATGGAGATCTTGAGGGCGTTGCTTTTGCAGCTCCTACTCCGGCCTGTCTTCGTACTGCTAGTGCATCACTGCTTCTTCAGACTGAGGTCGCCATGATGTCAGCATCTTATAAGAATACTACCTAGTGTTCTCTTCCGTTGCCATACCGACATGAGCTTGCTTTGCGGATGTCTGTGGTTGTTCCCGCGGACAGCGTGACAATACTATTGAAATCTTCTCATTCTGCTGACGTGCAATAGCACGGAAAAAAGCGAAACAAACGCTACAACCACGCAGTACAGAAGACACGGCCCAGGCGATGTTGTCGGCCAGTGTGTCCAAGAAACTCCTTGGAATGTCAGTGTGCACAGGTGTGCCCAAAAACAACTCGTGGCAAAATCTGCCCTAAGACACTGAGTAAAAGCTAGAAAGAGCCACAATATAATGCAACATCATGCGAATAGTATACTAACCTTACAATAATGCCATGATGCTAACATATGAATGCTCGATTGATAACCCTGATGCCCCTGCGCCAACCTCGGGCTTGATGATTTAAGACCTTCCCACCATCGAACCGAGCGCACGAAACCCCTCTAAGAATGGTTATAAAGTACCATCTCATAGCACGTGAGGAGTTGATCTTCATATATCGCTCACCTCAGGCTGTAGGAGTAGATGATGTAGTACGGGAATGTAATTTAGTCGCTCACGTTTCCCAACCTGCCTCCCTGCATGCAAACATGACTCATTGGTCTTTGCACTTACCGGGAGAGCTTGACGCATGGATTGACCAAGAGGCTGAACTCATATACAATAGCATCATTTGATAGCTCTTTTGGTCATCTTCCGAACAGACAATGCTTCGCTGTTCGTTCACGCATGGAATACAACAGAATGTAACATCAACTTATGTAAAACAGAAACACATACTGTACGAAACGATATAAAAGGTTATATAAAATACGAAAGACAGTACAAACTAATATACAACAACACAAGATTGTGTGATACAGTACAGTTAAATATTGTATATATAATATAGTGGAATGGAACAGAATTGCAATGAATTGGCATAGACTAGAAGAGAACAGAATAGAACAGAATAGAATAGACTAGAACATAATAGGCAAGAATAGACTAGAATACAATTTGTTATCATATAATACGAAACAGCATTCTATAATGATATCAGATATAATATGATGCAATGCAATGTAACAACATACTGAAAACAGTGTAACATACTGTACTATACCATACTATGCCATGCTTTACTATACCATACTATATGATATTATACTGTGCTAGACTATGTAACAGAATAGACTCAAATGAAACAGAGTAGAAAGTAACATAGAATGCTAAATCATATGTAATTCCATAGTATAGACAAGAATATTATAATGTAACATGATAAAAGTACATTATAGTATAATGTCATATGATATAGGAAGGTACCATGAAAACATACTATGTTCAAGTACTAAAACTTGAGATATAAATAATGATCAAAAATACGCTACACTCCTTTAACATAGTATCACATTACATAGTATAAACAGCATTATATGAGATCAAATACAATAATGCAATGCAATACAACCGGGTACACTACAATACAACATGGTATAACGTAATATAACCGGGCATACTACAACACAACATGGTACAACGTCATATAAGATGATCTGATAGGATGTCATATAATGTAATGTGACGAAGTATATGATATAATCGAACATAGCCTCATCTAGTCTACTCAAATCTAGTAAGTATATAATGTCATAACATATTTTGTATCATGTTATATCTTATACTATCCCAGAATTTCATCCAATATAACATAATATGGTATCATAAATGTAAAGTATGATCAACCTCAATTTAGTTGAATCAGTGTTAACGTCACCATATAACAAACTATAACATAGTATATTATGATGCAGTATAACGCAATTTGCAGTAGACTAGTGGTGCAAAATGCTCTAGACAACAATACAATAAAGTGCAGTGCTATATGATGCTACATAATGGTATGTATTGTGAAACAATGTTACAGAATGTTGTCTAATGTTGTAAAGTGCCATATATAATGTCATAGAATGCTTTACAATGCGTCTAGTGTCATGCGGTGTTGTACGACATGGTACAAGTGATAGGTATGACAACAGTATCATTTGAACACATCAACAGAGTGTTCAGATTCTGTTTGGTCATAATGTTAAGAATAACTCACGCCCACACTTGTGGCCCTCGTCTCTCCTGCTCGCTGCTTGGAATTACTTCAAACAGTTCCTCATCCTCCCACCATGTCCACATTTAACGGCCTACTACCGCTGCTACTACCACCACCACAACCACCATCACGACTACTCCTGCTGCTGCCGCTGCTCCTGCTGCTCCTACTGTTCCTCCTACTGTTCGTCCTGCCTAACTCCTACTACTGCAGCGAAAACCATGATAACGACCACCACCACCATGACTACCACGACTACCACTGTCACTGCCCTGCAAGCAACGTCTTAAACCGAATCGTCACATAACCATCACCACTACGATCATCATCATGACCGCCGCGATTGCAACCATCCGCAGCATCGTCATCTGAATGATCATGACCGTCATGACGGTATTCACACACACACACACCGCGCACTCGAGGAAAGCCCTGTAGCACTGATCCGAAACCTGGCGTCCGCATCAGCTTCGGCAGCACGTCTTTCATCTCGGAGCTCTTGCCCCGGCAGGTTGCCAGGGAGTCCTGCCGTCGCTCTAACCCTATAGCAGCCACTCGCGACTCGCGGGTCACATCTGAAAGAAAAAACGGCACGCCCGGCACACATGACATCTCAAATACCGCCAATGGATGGACAAGACATTGCTCGACTACAATACAATAGAGTACGATATGATATGATATGACTCCTTCAGAGTCTGACCCACGCCAGTCCCCTTAGAGGTTGCGCAATCGCCATGCCAGAAATCTTGCACCACCTGACCCTCAGCAGCTGCCAATGCCGATGGCGATTGGACCACGCGTCGTTAATGTATTGCATATTGTATGTTATGGTATAATATGCTACACTATACGATAGCTACTATGATGTACGATGTTATACTATATACAAGAACCCCCTCACACCCAAAATTAGATCTCAACCCTGCACGAGAGAGGAACCTGAAACACCTCCTCCTCAAAGCTCGGAGAATCACGGTTCAGGGCTTTGGGTCTGAAATTTAGGGGTTTAGGGTTTCGGGTTTAAGTGTTCAGGGTTTAGGGCTTCAGGGCAAGACGGCGCCTCTAGTGAACCAGCCGCGTAACTCGCCACATCACAAGCTTTGAAGAGGTCGTCCAAGATGTCCGAGGCCTCTCCATCTCAGGTGTAACGGAACTGTTGGGTGGCAGATCTACCTGAACCGCCAGGTGGGCGGGGACTATGACTTCAGGGCAACGTTTATTATCTTGCAAGAAAGAAGGAGTGCAAACTGTCGCACATTATAGTATATTGCCGTGTATAACGGGATAGCGTTAAAGCAACGCTTATTCCAGTGGCAACGTTTGTATTATAGCATGCTATCGCGTGTAAATCAAAGCATAGTTTCTGCGAAGCATCGAGAACTCAAAGCCCCCTCCTCGCTTCTCTTGCGGCACTGCACTCCTACAAAAAAACTGAAACCTAAACCCGTCGATGGTAATAGGGTTTAGGGTTTGGGGATTAGGCTACATCAGAGACATCACACCGTCAAGAACCAGGATGACAAGACAAAACCTGAAGACTCAAGGCCATCAACACCAAGCTCTCCAAGCCCTGAGCTCCAACAGATCTCTACACCCCAAATCCCAAAGCCCCCAAAAATCTGTAACAAAATCCTAAACTCTGAACTCCTACAAAAACCCTACAAAACCCCCCCCAACACAAAAACCCTGGGCCTGCTTCACACTGCTGGTGTAGGCCTCTGCCGACCTTCTTAGGCCGAACATTCGAAAGACCGTCGGCACGTGCGAGCTTCCGCTGAAGAGCTCACTTCGTACTCGGGAGAAGAGCTCCTCAAGGGCTTCTTCTTGGGCTTCTTCGTGGGATGTTTTTTTGGGGATTCCCTAAACTTATAAACCCTAATGCCTAAACCCCAAACCATTCGGGCTCAGGGAGTTGAGGGTTTAAGTTCTGTGGGTCAGGCACAAATTTTGCTTTCGGAGATATTCCATGTCCGAGGACTCGTTATGGAAAAACGGGTGTGAGCAACACTTCTCACGTTGCAAAAGCTGCTTCACGTCCAGAGCAACTAGACTCACCGACCCACCCCTTCATGCAGGCTACAAGTAACAATTTCCTGCCAGACATCATCATCATCATCATGACCACCATCACCATCACTTTGCTCAACGTGACTATCATGACCGTCAGCACCTTTTCCGACACCAGCACCTGCACAATCACCGTGAGCCGCTTCCATCATCGTCAATTCGCCGTCGTCATCGGTCATCGATCATGACGATGACGACATCACCACTATCCGTCATCTTCTTGCTGTTAGAGGCCCTTGACATCCAAAGGGCAGCAAGGAGGACATCCAAGGCATCTATGCATCGTGGATTCCTGCACGGCTCCTTCAAGAGATCCGAGGCCTCCTGATACAGCTCCTCCGTACCCTCCTTGCAGAGAGCCAGTCTTGGTTGAGGATTCAGGGTTTAGGGGTTTAGGGTTTAGGGTTTAGGGTTTAGGGTTTAGGGTTTAGGGGTTTTAGGGTTTGGTCAGGCAAGCTTCAGAACGTGCTAAGCTGTAACCCTCCAGTCACTGAAACAGCCACAACCCGCAAGCTGCAGCTCAAGGCTTCGGCATTAGACTCTGCTGGAGCTTCGGAGCAGAAGCGACCCGAAAATGAATTGGGATCCTCATTCTCATTTACAACGATCCCAAAATCCGGTAGCCCTAATCCCAGTTTTGAATTTCTGACAGCCCCACATGATGGCGGAACTCTTATCTGGAGGTCGTGAAGGTCAGAGCCCTAAGCACTTAGGGAGCCGTCAGCAACTTTGAATTCCCTTCCACGTCAGGTACTGCGAGAAGGTTGCAGCAATAGACTCTAAACGAAAGGGTTCTGAACATTGAACCCTACCCTAGACTGCCCCACATGGTAAGCCGTAAAACCTAAACCCCATGGTATAGTAGAACATTCCTCGATACCCTAAACCCTCGGTTTACAGATCCAAGTCGGACCAAACTCGAAGATTCCGCACTCCAATGCTCCAAGCAGAGTAGACAAAAACCCGAGACCTCTTGGAGGTAGGGCTTAGGGTTGTTTTTGTTTTTTAGGGGTTCAAGGTTTGTTTGTTTAGGATTCAGGGTTTTTCTATTTGCAGGAGTTTATAAGGTGTTTGTTTTCAAAGGGTTTAGGGTTTAGGGCATGAGGTTCAGGGTTTGGGATGTGTCAAGGGCAAGTTCCCCGAAAGAGAACGACAACCCCCCCTTTTTGGACAGCTGGGATTCCTGCACACGAAAACGAAGGGTTTAGGGTTTAGGGCTTAGGATTCAGGGTTTAGGGTTTAGGGTCTAGGGTTTAGGTTTAGGGCACCCAGCAACCCCGAAACTCCGCAGTCCCGCAGCAACTGCACTCTCAACTCTGTGCTCCGTTTTCTGAGAAGTTTACATCTCCACCAAGAGGTCGGAGTATCAGAATATACCGGGGTCAAGGGTTCTTCCTCTCAGACTTCACTCAGATCCGAAGCCCCCCGGCGGTGAATCCCAGGAGCCTCGGCAGAGGAGAACAGCTCTTGCAAGTCTTGCCCAGCCTTGTCAGCCACCTCAAGGGAGCAATGACAAAGAACGAGAATCATGTGCTACTACAGTAAGCAGGGCCTTGTTGCAGAGTCATGCAGAGGCATGACATCAGCATCATTACCACCATCCCCGTCGACATCATCATCCTCATCGTAATCACCATGAAGGCATCATCATCATCATCCTGATCATCATCATCCTGATCATAATTGTCATCATCCTCATCAGCTTATCTGCAAAAAATACCACCCTCTTGACTCGATAGCGAGAAAGCCCAAACCCTAAACCCCTAAACCCCGACCACCAAAGCCTAGAAGCCCGAAACCCCAACCCCCAAACCCTCCTCTGAAGCTCTGTCTTGCGACAGTCCCCCAAGCCCTCCACCTGAAGCCTGAAGCCTTGAAGCCCTAAACCTTCCTAACCCTAAAACACAGCCCACTAACTAAACAGAAGAAGCTCAAAACCTCAACACCCCAAGATCCGAAACTCGGAAATCCTGAGCCCATCAAGGAGCGGCACCTGACCTCGATGAGGCCTGTGAACTGCTTCTCGAGCATCCAGAGCGCTGAATCCAAGAAGACCTCGACCATTAAGGATTTAGGGTTGCCCCTAATCGGTTTAGGGTTTAGGGTTGAGGGTTTAGGGTTTAAGGTTTAGGGTTGCCCCTAAACCCTAAACCCTGAACCCTAATGTGTGCTTGAGGCTTCGGGCTTGGGGAGTAGGATTTCTCTGCTTCAAAGTTGAAATCTTTTTGTTGCAGCTCGGGTACTCCGATTCGCGATTATAGAGTGCTTTACGTACAAAGACTGCAAACACAACGGAGCTGTGAATCACTGGTGTGCGTCACCCTCCACGATCCCTGATACCTCTCAACTCACACTCGCTGTAGTGGTTCACTCAACGTTTAGGGTTGCGAGCCTGGGGTCATGGGCTAAGGGCTCTGAGGCTCACGGGTTCCGGCTTTCGGATTCACGGCATCAGGGTTTCGGACTTAGCAGTACTCCTCTGATATCCTTACGATAGCATAATAAACGCCAAAACCCTTTCAAACTGCTAGAGGCCGCCTTTCCTCCCCCCCTCCCCCCTACGCACACACGCACACAATGCTGCAAAGAGCCGCTAGAATGAAACCCTCACATACCTTCCCCTTGAAACTCAACTCGAAACCCGAAATCCCACACCGATCAAGGAAGCCCGAAGGAATACCTACGGGGACCTACGGGCTCAGGATATTCAAGACCCGTCCTTCACCATGTAAAAGGCCAGGAATCCCGTTGAGGCTTTCTCCTCGGGGCTCACTGGAGCTTGGGGCCTAAACCCTAAACCTCAAACCCTAAAGTTTGGCACTAAGGGTTTTAGGGCTTAGAGCTTTGATGGTTTAGGGTTTAGGGTTTAGGGCTTAGGCCTTGATGCATAGAAGTTGGGATTTAAGGTCCAGGGTTGATGGATGACTGCTTAGCAGGGCAGACGACCTACATCCCTCAAAATCTTGAAGAGTCCTCATCGACCCCGTGAAGCACCCTCATAGAACTCCGACTGCCTAAGCAAGATTCTAGACTCCTCAACCCCAAACCCCAAACCCTAAACTCCAAACGCCTCAACCCTAAACCCTAAATTCTAAACCCCTCAACTCTAAACCCCAAACCCTAAACCCTAAACCCCTTCAACCCTAAACCCCAACTCCTAAACCCGAAATGCCTCAATCCTAAACCCTAAACCGTCCTTGAACGGAATGTCGGGCTTCCGCAAGGACGGTTCAGGGTTTAGGGCTAAGCTTTGGGGCTTTGAGGTTTAGGGTTTAGGGTTTGGGGTTTAGGGTTGAGGCGTTCAGGGTTTAGGGTTTGGGGTTTAGGGTTGAGGGTGAGGGGTTTAGGGTTTAGGGTTTAACCTCAAGGAGACAAAGTAACAAGGATAAGTGGGAGTACAAAGCTCACAGCCGCAGCACCAAAGCTCAGCCTTCAAAGCGTTTGGAGATCTAGAGCAAACGATCGCATGCTTCACGCTGTATTCTTGGTGCTGTACCGGCTGTAGCTAGGGTTTCCCTCTCAGAAGACCGAGGACGCAGAGAGCACAGGCTTCAGGCTCAAAGCACACGTGTATTCCTAATCTCATGCTTGACACCACTCCTTCGCGATCTTCTGCGCAAGCTGTTCCAAGTCCATGGCCTGCAAGTCTATTCAGTCCGGGCCTAAGGCTGATGACATGGGGGGGCTTAGGGGGTTTATAGGGCTTAGGGTTTGGGGTTTCGGCTAATGACGTGGGGCTGCTGGAATGTCGGCAAGCTTCTGCTGCAACAACAAGCACATTAGCTCCTCCTTCTATGTAACCGGTCAACAACCGAGCACGTCACTCATTGAGAATGAAACATAGAACGCATGCGCTCTTGGCCACCACAACTCGCTTCCCGAACAAACTCCCGAAATTCCTCGAGTCCACTGATGTGTATCGATCACAGTCTGGTGGGCGCACTGTCCTTGTTTGTACGACCCTGGGCCACATCGCCCCCCAAATGATTGCAAAGCGGTGAAGGGGTTGAGGGCTATTTTGTGGTACAGTACCTCCTTGGGCGCAGTTCGCGAAAGCTGCAGAAGTTCGCTGACGTCAGAGCCGTCACAGTCCTCCCATCACAGGCTTGGCTGAATTTCAATTCATGGGGACTTGAACCGACTATTATTCAAAGCCTCTTCAACCCTTATCCCAGCTAACGAACTTGTCAAAAGGTTTCTGGACTCGGAAGCCGAAAGAAGGCTGACGGATTTGTGTGCCTTGCCAGGTTACCCAATATGGGGTTTGAGCTTTGAACGAAACCGGGGTGTAAACGACCGCATGTGAATCGTCAGCACTCTTCTGTCCCCTTGCTTTCCTTTTTGCCTTAAACATCCGAAAAACAAAATCCGAAAATCTCAAGAGGCCCAATGCATGCTGCAATGCCATCCTCACAAAGTGGCAAGCTGCCGCCATGAAGACAAGCAGTGAGCAGAAGCACCGTTGGCAGCTTCGGCACCATCTCGATGCTACAACCTGAATTGCGCCACTTCCCGCATGATACCTCACAGTTTGAGCCAAACAACAGACAGTTTCAACACAGCCCGTCGAACGTTCAAAAGCAACGCCTGAACTTGCAGCATCTCAGTGTCATGAAACGGCATGGGACACGAAGACTAGCAGAGTATTTGGTTCTTTCTACTCACACTAGGTTTTGTCAACGTTCGTTTCTACGATTGCTCCGACAGTTGGAAAACTGACATTGGGTTTGTGTAGAAAACTGGTTGAATCGAAATAGGTCGAACAGATTTCTGAAGGGAACTAACACTGCTGCTTGAACGCATACAAAAACGCGATGCGAAACAATATACTGAATTGTCAATCCGGTTGATGATTTATTTTGCATACCTGAAAAAAGGAATATACCATAATTCCCATAGTTTAGGGTCCTTAGGGTATTGCAGGATTTTTATACCATCAACAATAAGTACAAGCAAAAGAGATTCAATGAAAAGACAGGATTTTACAACATAAGAGTTCGATGCTGGAAAGACCAATGCTGCAAAACGCAATAGTGATTCAATAGTGTATGATTTTCGGTTTTCTTTTGAAAATATTCCTTCACACAACATGAAACAGCTGAGCATCATTCTTGACCTGACCATATACACCACTATGCAAAGAAAAATCGAAAGTTGGAATTACATGCAGGCCACCTGTGTATGGCTCCGAGAGCAGTGGATTTTGGTGAAGCGTAGCAGAAGCTACCGACAAGCATACCTTTGCCAGAGCAGGGGAGAAAAGTCTCAAGTGCTAGAATGTTGAGCTTGCAAGTCGGATGACAAAACGTGTTTCTGAAAGAACGAAGAGCCTGGGGCTTAAAGAGAGTTCTATTGCTGAAGAAGAGGATCGAAACCACGCGCTTCTCTATGCTACTTGTATGAGCTTTGACCTAGATCACGACATCAAACTTGGCAGCTCTACGCAGCACTTGAAAAATCGCAGCGGCCATTCCACAGCAAATATATTTAAGAACCACGGGCCAATTTGCGCAGCCCTCTTGCGACGTGCATGGGCAACGGTAGGGATGGACCACGTATCTTTTCCGTGCCTGCAAGACGTGGACTACAGGCCTTTCGCCTCGATCAGTTCGCACCGACTGGTTCGCAACTTAAACTGCAGAAAAAACGTCCAAAACCAGATTAGAGGACAGATTCACATGAGCTGGAATCGGTCAACTGCACCACCGACAGAATCCACACCACATTCGTAACGGGCAGGTGCTACATGCATGACAAAGTTTCCATCTGGGCTTTTATCGGTCAACTGCACCATCGACAGTTATCCACACCACATTCGTAAACGGGCAGGTGCTAAATACATGACAAAGTTTCCATCGGCTTTTTCAAGGAATGAAGACTCCATCCACCGTGTCAGGTATTGCCTGCAGATCCAGATAAGGTCGCCATTCACAGCTTGAAAACCAAATTCAAGGTCGTGAAATTTTACTGCTAACTGTTGCCTGCGGCATTGTTTTCAAGACCAGAGGAAAAGATTTTAAAAAGGAATATCTGGGCGCAATTCGCCCTTGTTGTGGCTTGTAGAAATATTAGGCCGCAAACCCAAATCGGTTCCTCTAATTCGGACGAGAATGCAACAGTTGAATTGGTCTCTTCTTGCTGTAAATTAAATTTTGAGCCAAAAGAGAGCTTTTTGTTTTTGTACCTACCTTTTTAGTATTCGTGCATGTCCATTAATGTGTGTCTGTGCTGTAGTCTTGCACTGGGAAACTGCCATAATAAAGAAATCGTAGAAATCCCGATTGTGGTGACTTGAAATTAAATCTCTTACCAGTAACAAGAACCCAGCTGACGACCTGTACGATTTGCGAACAGGAAGAATTGGCGAACATAGGAACCTGATTAAGGAACCCTGGGTCTTCATTCGGGTTCTTGTTTTGAACTCCAACATTTTGGGTTCAGGGTTTCTTAACCAGGTTCCTACATTCCTTTGCAGTCTGAGGCTCGTCAAAGTGTCAGTACGAACTTTTCCACACTCCTGAGCAACAATAGCATTCGGTCGTAACGGAGTTCACAAGTGCACAACTAAAGGAGCGAAAATATATGCATGATAAAACAAAGGAAAATCACACATGCGAATACCGGAAAATCGTTCGTACCCCGCCTCAGGCTGTTCCATCGGCAAGTGGGCAAGCTGTTCGTGAACTATTCCGAAAGTATGAACCAACAGCGTACATGATTCTTAAAGACGCTCCAGTGCACTTGAGGCTATGACTTTGTCACTAGCAACTAGCGTATTGGGCTTTTTTTAGCCGGCTCAAGGCTTTGCTCGGTGGGTATGCACAACCTACAGTTTTAGCGTTGTTCTGTACAACTACACAAACATGCGTCACAAGGCGTGGGCCGCCGAGGACACATGCGGTGCTTGACCGACGCAAGCGTACGCCACATCCAAGTTATCAAGAATGAAGCGGATTCATCATGATGGCACATGCGCGTGTTGCGCCCAACGTCGCAAGATCCCTAAAGGATACAAGAATGAAAAGATTATGACGGCCTAGTTACCGTCAGGACAACATGTTATGTGTCCACAGCAGGCTTGAGCCGCTCCACGGCTCCATGAAGTGTGGTCTGGACTCGCAAGTATTGGCAGCAACATGCTGCGCCGCATGGATTGGCTCGACCGACCAACTATGTATAGCTAAGAGAAGAATGCGGCAGGATTTCGTGTTCAGATTTCAAGGTTTGCACACGCCACAGCTGGTGTAGCCAAGGTGGATAGCTTGCTCTCCCGTGACTTCATCACGGTCGTTGCAGCATGAAGCTTTCCACATCCCATACGGACTCGGGTCGGGCTTTTGCTCGGAGCCTTGCTGCCTTTGGCGTTGGCGGCACTGGCATCTCGGTGTTGCCAACCTCTCGCGCTGGCGGAGGATCATCGGATCCGCGTGCATCTGATGCAAATCCAGAGTCGCGGCTAATCGGACTTGACATGGCCTCAGACCGCGCACCATACATAGCTGCAATCGCATGTATTGCTCTGCATTTACTCGTTGTCAGAGCTGAACTGCATGGGCAGTGCAGGTGTGCCTGGAGCTTTGGGTCCAGCCGACGCCAGGTCACGCAAAGAAACAATGAAATGATCGGTGCACATCAATCGTAACACCATCTCCAACATGCACCTGAACAGATGACTGTCTACCCTCGTATCGACCTTTGCAGCAGTACATGCACAACCAAAGCATGTAGGCAAGAAAATGCATTGAAGCATCGCGACACAAGTTGCAGGGTATGCAGCATACGGAATCCGACCAAACTGCACTTCTCCCCTTCCCAAGGTTGCTCGAACATCTACAGCGCGCTTTGCACCAATGTAGCATGCCATGCAACCGCTTGCGAGTGATGTCTCAACGTTGCTTGAAGGGAGACTTATAATGATTGTTCTACACGGACTTTGCTCAGGTCCTTTGTCCGCAGCAACGTTTTCGATCCCAAACCGGCCCTGCACCCGGGTGGCCCGGAAGTTTTCACATTGTGTGCAGATGTGTGTCCTTGATTCCAGAGTTTCTAGCTTCTGTCTTTGTTGATGCTTTGGTTTTGTCTTCCATTTCCCACAATCGGAAAACAAATCTGTGTTTTGCGTGAATCTGACTTTTGGAGCACGGTTGGAAGTTGAAACAATGTCGAACTTTGAGATGCAGATCAGCTCAAGGTGCAACAATACCCAAATGCAGGGCCGGTTTTGGGGGTTTGAAACTGATCAAAAACGTTGCCGCGGTCAAAGGGTCCACAGTGCTGGAAGACCTTATTGAGATGTTGGAGTTCTACACAACCGCACGATTCCTCAGCAATGTGGTGTTGCGATACGAGCAAGCGTTGTGCGTTTGCTATAGGTGACTGACATCTAGAGAGGCTGCGTAGACTTGTGTTTCTTGTTGTTTCCCGCTCACTGATCCGCTCCTGCAAGCTCGAAATCTGCACAGGAGTGGTAAATTCCCGAGGCTTGTTTTCCACCGTTTTGTGATTTGAGAATCAGAAATTCTACTAGAAAGGGGGCTAAGTTGCGTGAAAACCAGGCCCAAATCGGGTTCGTACCGCCACAACCTTCACTTTGGAGCTCGCTTTTTTGGAACCATGAAATCTGACGGGCACTCGGACGATGGAACTTGCAGACACGCAGCTCGAAGCCAGCGGGCAGCCGACGGCAGATCCGCCGCCAGCGGAAGCGGCAGCGGAAGAGGCTTCTACGCCCTAGAAGACCAGTGTAACATGGACCCAAACTTTCGCCAGGCTTTGCAGAACTCCCCTGAACTTCTTAAAGCCTACAATACAGTGTGCAACCCGAAGAAAGCAGCCCGACTTGATCCTGTTACTATCTCCTTTACGTCCACTACCAACATTGATCTCCCTCCTCCCAGTGTAGAAACCCCGCCTCCACAGGTTACCATGGAGAACCTCAGCACGGTACTTGCACAGTACCA